GGGCGGACGCCTCAGAGGCTCATTGCAGCAGTGGCGGTGGCGGCGGTGGCTTTGTGGGTCGCAAACTCAGCTCGGCTCCCCCGGCCGTCGCGCTGCGGCCCTTTCATCTGCTCCACGTGAGGGGTTATCCCCGCCCCGGCAGCGCCGTGACCCGCTCTCTCCTCCCTCCCCGCGCTCAGCCGCCGCCGCCGGAGGGAGCAGGAAGGCGGGGCAGGCGCGCCTGCGGCGGGAGGCGGAACCTGGGGGCTGGAGCAGGGCCGGCCCCTACCCTGCTACGCCCCGCCCCCATCCTGGCTACGCCCCACATAGGCCACGCCCCCTCATCGCTCCTCCCTAGCCTCTACTTACGCTCCTCCTCTCGTTTTGGCTCTGCCCTCGCCCTCCCTCTACGCCCCGCCCTTCACCCTTGCTCCGCCCTTCACCATCGCTCCCGCCCTCAGCAGCAGACATTTCTGCTTGCTTTTGCCTGAGTTCGGCGGGAAAGGGAGATGCAACCTGTACTGCCGTGATGCGCTCCCTGTCTGGCCCGGCCCGGTGCAGGAGGTAGGGCCGCTCCCTGATTGGAGCCGTACTTGGAAGGCATAGCCCTTCACGGTACACTCAACCCCACATCCAGGATGGAACCGGAAAGGCCCCAGTGATCTGATCGCGGCTCCTGCAGCTAGGCCACGCTGGGACATGTCTGGTCCTTGCACCAGAGCCATTTAGACTTAACTCTCTTGTGGACTGGAGGAGCAGGAAGACCTTTAGGAAGTCATTTGCGCTTCAATGGTGTTCTTGCACAGCAGTTAATGGAACACATGTTCAAACCCTTTCAAGACCCAGGGTTCCCAACGAACCATGTATTTAAAGAAGATAAACTTTAGTTTCCTACCCCTTTGGAACATTCTTCGTCATCTTCTAGTCCTGTGTCAGAATTGAATCCCTCCTTCAACGGCCAGATTCAATTCCTCATAGTCTTTCTTCCTAATGACTTGGTTCCGATTTTTTGAGATATTTGGTTAGGACGATCTGCTTCTATTTGCTCACATACTCAAATATGTAGAAAGACCAAAACACAATACCAAAAAGAAAATCACCGTAGAATGTACTTGGGTAAACAGCTTGTCAAGACTACATTTTAAAACAGAAAAAACAACTTCAGAATGTGGAATGGAAAATACACATGAAAATATCCAGACCTGTGTTTACCACCATATTTGGGCCCCCCAGAGCTTCTGCTCAAGTGGAAGGCAGGTAGAAAAAGACTCAGGATGGTGGCTTTTTAGCCTCTCCAATACCTGCCAAACAAGTGCTGACTATAACTGGGTATCAGTCCTTAGAATTCAGTAAGCCCTCCATCCCAGGTGGCATGTTCCAGTCCTGAACGGGAAAACCAATCACTACTGCAGTCCAAGACACTCCAGTATTTGAAATTCAAGCTCATCAGTCACATCACCTGATGAATAAGTAAGATGTGGCATATTCATACATTGGAACATTTCAATAAAAGGGTTTTAAGTACTGATAACATGCCACAACATGGATAAACCTTGAAACTAGGTGGTGCAAATGGCCCCAGCTAGAAATACCTCAGAAGAGAAGCTTGACAATCTACTTCCAAAAAAAATCAAAACGCTATGGAGCACAGTTCTACTCTAACACACATGGGGTCTCCTTGAGTTGGAATCAGCAACTGGTTTTGGTTTAAGTGAAAGAAGCTAATCACAATACAGATGAAAATCCTGGAACCCTGAACTTCAGAGAAATGGTTAGAGAAATATAATGAGTGCTTACTGAAAGGAAAAACTGAGCAGGAATGGTGAGAGAGATACAGACTGGTGAACAGCCAATCCAGACGCAGTGCAACCATCATGAATTTTTTTGAACAGTTTTGGTGACAGAAGGTGGCATGGCAGAGTAGATTCACACAGGCAACAGGAAAGGAGACAGCAACTTTGCCAATACAGCCCAGCCACAGCTGTACCCTCTTCAGCTCCACCCACTGGGCAAGAACCAATACCAGCTCCAATACCACCTGATTAGTGGTAGACAGCAGCTGCAGCCAACACCAGCCAAACCTTCCCTAAACTGAGATGCAAGAATGCCAAATGGGTAACAGTGTACACGCTTCCATTCTTTAACTATAACTACAGGAGGTTAGTTGGTGAGATCCTAAGAACACATGAACATATAATCATGAATTAAATACAATATGATAACACCACAGTGTTCCAGAGATAACAGACAATTTTAACTCAGATGAAGAAACAAGAGACTAGTTCAAACAAATGACCAAGATTTAGAGGCAGAAGCATTTCTGAGGAAGATAAGGTATTTTTTAATCCTAAGAAAGCCTAAACGTTATGTGGGACACCAGGGAGAGGAACAAATTTCAAGTGATTGGAATTCCAGAACAGGAAGATACAATAAGCACAGAGAAAACTGTCAGAGTTGTTGAAAGAAAACTTCTCTAACATCATAAAAGACAAGAAGATGAGCATACAAGAAGCTGAATGAATCCCAAACAGAATGGATCCCAAAAGAAAATTACCAGACATATCGTAATCAAACTTTCCAAAATCAAAGATAAGGAAAGAATCCTGAGAGCAGTCTGGGAAAAACAAAAAGTTACCTCCAGAGGAGAACCAATAAGACTAAGTCTGATTTCTCAGCAGAAACCAGGCAAGAAGGCTGACATATACAAAACTCCAACAGGAGAAAAACTACCAAGCAAGAATCATATACAGCAATGAAATTAGGGCATTTCCAGATAAAGGAACCAGACCAACTTTATTTTAAAAAAATGCTAAACGGTGTTCTTTGTACTGAAACCAAGCAACAACAGACAACAACCTGAGATTAACATATATAACAACACCCAGAACTCAATCCAGATGTAGGTTTATTTTACTTTAAATATTTCTATAAGACTGAAAATAGGAAACCAGATACATCAATTTAGAATAAAGTCCACTACAAAACAAAGAGAGGGAATAGTGTAGATATTGTTGTTGTTGTTGTTGTTGTTGTTGTTGTTAGGTGCCATCGAGTTGGTACTGACTCATAGTGACCCTATGCACAACAGAATGAAACACTGCCCAGTCCTGGTCCAACCACAATTGTTGCCATGCTCGAGCCCATTGATGCTGCCACTTTGCCAATCCATCTCGCTGGGGGTCTCCCATTTTTTCTCTGACCCTCCCCCTTACCAAACATGATATCCTTCTCCAGCAATTGGTCCCTCCTGACAATATGTTCAAAGTATGAGAGATGAAGTTTGGCCATCCTGGCCTCCAAGGAGCACTCTGGCTGCACTTCTTCCAACACAGATCTGTTGATTCTTTTGGCAGTCCATGGCACTTTCAATATTCTCCTCCAATACCATAATTCAAAAGCATCAATTCTTCTACAGTCTTCTTTATTCACTGTCCAGCTTTCGCATGCATATGAGGTTATTGAAAATACCATAGCTTGGGTCAGGCACACCTGAGTCCTCAAGCTGACATCTTTGCTCTTCAACCTTTAAAAAGTTCCTGTGCAGCAGATTTGCCTAATGCAATACGTCGTTTGATTTCTTGACTGCTGCTTCCATGAGTGTTGATAGTTGATCCAAGAAGAATGAAATCCTTAACAACTTCAATCTTTCCTCCCGTGGTAAGAATGTTGTTATTGGTCCAGTGGTGAGGATTTTTGTTTTCTTTACATTGAGATGCAATCCATACGGAAGGCTGTGGTCTTTGATCTTCGTCAGTAAGTATTTTAAGTCCTCTTCACTCTCAGCAAGCAAGGTTGTATCATCTACATATCCCAGGTTGTTAATGAGTCTTCCTCCAATCGTCATGCCACGCTTTTCTTCATATAACCCAGCTTCTCAGATTATTTGCTCAGCAAATAATAGGTTGAATAAGTATGGTGAAAGAATACAACCCTGTCACACACCTTTCTTAATTTTAAACCATTCAGTGTTCCCATGTTCTGTTCAAACAACTGCCTCTTGGTCCAGGTACAGATGCCTCATGAGCAAAATTAAGTGCTCTGGAATACTCATACTTTGCAATGTTGTCCATAGCCTGTCATGATCTACACAGTTGAAAGTCTTTGAAGAGTCAATAAAGTGGATATTAGATGGGGGAAATTAATTACAGGATAACCTCAAAAAATTAATACACCATCACATCAAGATTTTTAAAAAGGGCAATCAAGAAGATTTAATAAACATTAACACAACAGAAATGAAAATGAAAAGAAAACCCCCAAACAAAATGAACTCAGCACAGATAATTATGTAAAACAAAGAGACCAGTAGCACCACACATTAAAAAAAAAAAACAAAAAAAAACCATAGCAAAATGACAGCAATTAATTCACACCTATCGATAATTACACTGAATGTAAATGGATTAGATGTACCAGTCAAGAGACAGAGAGTAGCAGAATGGATAAGAAAACAGTATCCTTCTATATGCTGAGTTTGTAAGAGACACATTAAGAAAGATGGAGACAGCCTAAATGCCCATCAACAGAAGAACGGTTAAACAAACTTTGCATAGTATTTCATTTTGTGTATGTACCAATGTTAAAGAATAACAATCTGCAAAGCATGATGAACTTGGAGAACATTATGCTGAGTGAAATTAGTCAATCACAAAAAGACTAACATTATATGAGACCAATGTTGTAAAAGTTGAAAGGTTTTCTTGATAGAAGAAACAATCTATGATGGTTATGAGGAGTAGGGGAAATTATTCACTAGGTAGAGGCTAAATACATATTAAAATGGGTGAC